TTAAGGGATAAATTTGAACATTTGTCAAGAAAAAACCCTGAGAAAAAACCTTTATATAAAATCTAGTTAATATCATATAATAACAACTGCGAAACATAAACATGCACTTACTAATTTACCACTTAATTTATTTCTATTTGCCGTTACATGATACTTGACCTGCAATAGAAAAAAGTTGTTTACATGGAATAAAAGTAGCTTGTATAAAACTTTTACTACTGTTAGAATCAGAAGAACTATCTTACAATTTTATTTAGAAGCTTAATAAAAATATCAGTATTTGTTATGTAATTTACAAAAAAAAATTTTAGTTATTAAATTTAAAAATAGTATACCACACTCTTAAATTTTAATTTACAGTCAACTCTTTCAATAGTCACCTCCTCTATAGTCACAAAATTAATGTAATTACAAATTTATTTTTACTAAATATTTATAACCTTATAGAAAATACCTCTATATTAGTCACACTTCTTTATAATCACAGTTTTTTGTATCCAAATTTGTGACTATAGAGGGGTTTGACTGTATACAGTCAAACCCTCTATAGTCACCTCCTCTATAGTCACAAAATTGGTATAATTACAAATTTATTTTTACCAATTATTTATAACTATATAGAAAACACCTCTATATTAGTCACACCTCTTTACAATCACGGTTTTTTGTATCCCGAAGGTGTGACTATAGAGGGGTTTGACTGTATATATATTTATATTATTTTTCATATAACTTTGTAACAGTTGAAAGATTGATAAGACGAAATGGGATGTCCCAGGACGGGAAAAGGCCAAAAAAGCTTGGTACAGTCAAAATGTACAATACTGGGGCAATCCCTGGGCTCAAAACGCCTGAAAATTGGGTACAATATAGGAAGAAGTATATACGCCAAATCACTAAACAAATTGCTTTTCTCAGTAACAGATTCCTCAGTTGTTGAAAAAAGCGTTTACTTAATCATAAGACCGATTTTAGACATTTTTTTCTGATTTGTATATGTGCTAATTTTAAGAACATTTGATCAAATTAAGATAATATACCGATACTTATCTGTTTAGTCAAGCCTGACTTATAAGGTTGATGCTTTTCAATATCGATATATTTTCATTCATAGTTCCATTTCGAGACTTCTAAGTTTTGTGCACTTCTGAATCAACTTGATTTTCTCATGCACAAACTGATTTGTCGCGAGTGAAATTGTCAAATAGATTTTCTTATGCCCAAATTTTTATGCATCTTCATTTAATAATGATCATAAGATAGTTTACCGTTACATATCGATATTGGGAATGAATTAAAAAATGCGCATATATATAACGATAAGTTAAAAACAAAGGTTGTTGGATATTACGGACCACATAATTATTTAAAGAGGCTTCCTTTCTTAAAAAATCTTTTCGTAAAAATTTTGCATTAACTGTTAAAATAATTTACTACAGAATGTCGTAAGTAAACTTTTCTCTGATCAATTGTTTATCATTAATGCATTAACATTTTTTTTTTGGATTTATTATAAGTGAATACATTATTCAATCGAAGAAATCACCAACTCATTATTGGACAACATTTGCTGATATTGGTTGCCTTACGTGATATATCCAATGAAGCCCAGATTTGGGTCATTGAATCCGGAAACAATCAAGCAGCTTCTATTACTAATGTTGGAAGACAACTTTCTGTTCAATACGGCCCAAACCAGAAGTACCTTTCCTTGAATACTAAAGAATCCAGCCTTAGGGCTCAACAGTTCACTTTTACAAGCACTAGGGGGATACATCCATAGCAAGTCGGCCTTCTCCAACCATTTATGCGGTAGTTACTGATGACGTAGTTGGTACTGGGACAGATAGCTCAATCATGTGGAATCTCCAAAAATTGAGTCGTTAAGCAAAAGCCTAAATCCGGAAATTATATAGTATAAAGTGATACAGTAGTTTATATTTATTATATTATATATCTTATTCTTGAAATAAAGATCGTCTTTTGTACAAGATTTTTTTTAAAAGTCCATATTAACCTAATGTGTTATTATCGTTTTTGACTAATTAAACAATTCTAGGAATAATTAAAAAATCTTAGTGTATTTTCACTATGCCTGCCTTAGAAAAGCAATCTTCTAATTTGTATTATGCATAGCACACAATTGCTGAGCAAAAAAGTCCAATAGTCCATAAATACATATTTGATAAATTCTTATACCTATATATTGAATCTTACACACCATGCCCTGCTATTTGATTGTCGATTAGTCGACTAATCGATTAATCGATCGACTGATTAGTTGAATGACGACTTTATGATTCTTATTCTTAACTATAACGATAATTAGTGATTTGAACTCATTGGCTGATGCAAATCAATTGCCGGGTAACTTATTTATATACTTTAAAGTACTTTTTTGTAACACAATGTTTTACTAACAAAAATTGTCACAAAATCATTCATAGCTTTAGAATAATGCAAATATTCACTGCGCAAAAGAATCTAAAAACGATCTTATTCCCCACAGACCTCGCTTAGAAGACAAAATATATCGGCTGTTTATTGGACAATCTCAAATTATATTGAAAATGAAGATAAGTGGAACGTTTTTGTTCAAGACTGCCTCATTATGTTAGATTTGAAAAAACTTTATAACTATCGAATTTGAACAAGAATAGGTCTATTGTAAAAGTTCCTGGTTTAATCTTTGAATATGTTTGGTTGATTTCTATAGTGATTTACTGTAAAAAATTCGTTTCTTGTACTTACGAGCTATGGTGATACAAGTGATTTTGATATGGATATGTTAGTTTTGTATTGGAATGATCGTGATTTCTCTAGTGATTTACTGTAAAAAATTCAATTCTTGTACTTACGCACTACGGTGATACAAGTGATTTAGTTATGTGTTTTGTCAGAAAAAAGAAATATTGGAATTACTTTACAAAAATCTTTCAAAATTGAACTTGCTAAAAATAAGCAATTTAACGGTGCTGATAATGTACTATTAAAATACAAAATTTTGCAAATATAAGCGCTTTATTTGCATTTTATTACTATATTTTAATTTTATAAATATATTTGTTAATTATTATGCTAATAAAATGCTAATATTAGAAATATAATATCAATATTTTAGTAATAATAAAGGTCTAAAATTACCATTATTTAACTAATTTATTAGGTATTTAAAGGTGCTGATAATGAAATAATCTTGTAATAAATTATTAAAATTGCTAACTTAGTACTATATATTGCTTAGTATTTGCAAATAATTGCATATCTCGAAATTATTAGATTTTTGTAAAGTATAAAATCTGAGAAATTGCATTTCAGGAAGCTGAACTACAGAAAAGAGAGCAACAACAGTAAAAACTGTATTTATGAATATTACTATCTGGTAACCTACCCACAAATGACCAGGTCTGGATTTCGGAATCGATACAATCACTACTTCTAGCATAGGCTCTTATTTAACCCTAGTATTTAATTAGACACTAAAATGCATATTTATGCTGTCATATATAATGCTTCTTAATCAACTAAATTTTACATTTTGATCTATTATTATGGGTCAATTATATAGCAATTATTTCTTTAAAGTTGCCCTGAGACTTAGGTATAGATAAATTAGAGAATCGGAAATAATTGTCAGTAATAATAATGTTAACGAACTACTTGCATATGTATGGTACTTAAAGGAAGTGTTAAAGATAAAAAAAATCCAAACAATATAGCAATAAAATTTATTAAATATTTAGATAGATTTATTTTACATGGCTGGTTTATTTAATTATAAATTCAAAAGCCTGAAGTCTAATTTTCTTTTAATTTTATTCAAATACAAACAAAAAGCTATCACTACTTGTTTTTGTACATTGTTTTATATAAACCATATACTTAACCATATACTATTCTTA